AACATTTATTTTTATAACTACAAAAGTCATAAAAGTAACAATTTTTATGTTATTTTTACTATATGAAAATAGTAAGTTTAATTTTTTTATAACTAGTAAAAAGTGGATAATTTTACTACAGAAATTCTTAAAATAACTATTTTCAACAGTACTTTTAACTACTGCTCTATTGTTGAGTCATTTAAAATCATATACTGGCTATATTTCAACTAAGTCCTTGAGCTTAAAAAATTAGTTACTGCAACTAAACGGAGTAGTTACTATGACTGAATATAAGAAGAATGTCCTCAGGTACAATGTGAGTCATCGTAGCGAGCGAGCGTGGTTAGGTGGTTAGGTTATCGGTTTGCGAATGTTAGGGTCGTGCGTTCAATCCCCGGCGTTTGGGGATTTTTCTCTGTTAGGTTTATAAGAATTTAACATATAAATTATATATGAACAAAAATAGGTAAGAGAAAATATAAAAAAATGGAACTCAATAATAATAAAAAACAAATAAATAAATTCATTTTACTACTTTAAATAGTTAATTTAACTATTTTTTACAGTTGTTACAACTATAATTTGTTACGGGCGCCTATAGGAACTATGAAAATTTAGTTACTGCAACTAAATGAAGCAGTTAGTATGACTAACAACAAATAGTTAAGATAACTGTTTTAGTAGTTAAATTTACTGTAAAAATGGTATTTATTACTACATTTTACAGTTAGACTAACTATTCTGTCATAGTTCATTTTACTAAATAATGTTACGGGCGCCTATAGGAACTACAGGAAATAGTAAAAAAGTAGTCAAATTTACCATATTTTTTTTTGTGTATACTTCTTGCGCGCAAATGAAAATCATTTTCAAATCAAGTATACATTTAAGCAGCCACTTTTAAAAGGCGATCACTGCGGAACACCATTAAATGAGACTTTCGATTATCGCCCAATAGAACGACACTAACTGGTTTAAAAGACCTGAAATAGGTAAACAAACATTTTCCAACAAAGTTTTTTCTGAACACAGACACTTTTTACAAAATCTGCTTACATACACTGAATAAGCGTCTTCTAAATTATAAATAAACTTTTTGGGATAATGCATTTTTAATTTGGCAAGTGTGGGATCTTTTTCTCAGCACTTACAGGCCACCCACTCATGCCACTTTTTTAAGTTGATGCCACTATTTAGCTACTATGTTGAAAAAAATGCCACCAATGACACTTTTTTGTAAAAAAATGGCCACTAAATACACTATTTTCAACTCACATGTTTAACTCTTAACCTTTAATGTTTAATTTTGTCAAACCTTGAAATAACCTGGAATTATGCTTGATTTTTTCTTAAACCTTGAATTTTACTAATTTTATTGATAGGTAAATAAATAATTTTTTTTGCTTGGCAAATTTACATTTTTTATGCAGAATGCAATTTTGAAACCTTAAAAATTTTTTAAAAACCTGTAATTGACATTGAATTTTATCAACAAATTTTAGTGGCTACCCTGTAACTGTAGATGTCAAAAAAATTACATTTAAGAGCGTTCGATGGTCTCTGAAATTTGTAGGTTATGAGCGACCTACACTTTTCGCCCTACAAAAACGGTACTGCCTGGTTTAAATGACGTGAAATTGGTAAACAATCATTTTCGAACGAGTTTTTCTCTGCACACAAGCACTTTTTGCAAAATCTGAATCCGAACCAATGACACAAATCTTCTTAATTACCTAAATCCAAAATATTTTTTAATCCATGCAGAAACGGAGTTGCAAAATGGTAAATGCAAAAGCAACAAAAGTAATGTAATGACAGGCGGCAAGACGTTTGTTACAACCATTTGCCATTAGAGGGCAGAAGCATGCAGGGAGCGTAAAGGCTCAGCTGTCAAAATGATTCGCATTACATTGCTATGGTAATTCCAATCCTGCAACCGCGTTTCTACAGGAATTTGACAAAATCTTTTGAATGCAGACAATTAAAAACATTTGTGTCAATGGTTAGGATTCAGATTTTGCAAAAAGTGCTTGTGTGCAGAGAAAAACTCGTTCGAAAATGATTGTTTACCAATTTCACGTCATTTAAACCAGGCAGTGCCGTATTTGTTGGGTGATAGCGGTTTGTCGAATGTAATCTAGAAATTTCAGAGACCGTCGAGCACCGTTAAATTAATTACCTGCAAAATTTCACTAACGCTAATTGTGCAGTCTGACTGATCGCTATATTGGACATTATTTTATTATATTATAATATTTAACAAATCTTATAAATATTATCTATCTTCAGATTTTTCACAAAATAGGAAGCTACTATCGACTTACAAAATTTTTATACCCTAACTTTGAAAACTCATTATTAAGTAAAAAAAATTCTTATGGTCTTTAAACAACCTACAAGTATAGTATCAAGAGGCACTATTCCTACCTTACTATACAAAACTGCAAAAAAAAAAATTTTTATATCAATAATGGAATAAATATATCCTATTGGCATTCTAAACTTTTTTAATAAAATATTTGAACTTTTTTGCAACATATTATATAAAAATAATTATCATTATTGCCAGTAATTCTTGAAAATTAAAAAAGTATGTTTTTCTTTACTGTACTATTATTTTTCACAATTTGCACTTTATGTTTACAAATCTGTGTCTTTATTTGCATGGGAGTAGACCCTTTTCATAATGATGAGAACAAACCATGTACTTAAAAAATTCAAACATTCATAATTAATGCAAAAAAAATTTTTGTATTTTACAGTTTTGTATGGTAACGTAGAAGTAGTGTCATTGATGATATCAGGTTGTCTTAATATCATATGAATTTTTTACCTGAGTTATGAGCTTTTAAGTCTTTTTTTGAGCCAATAGTAGAGTCTTTATTTGATTTTTGAAAAGTTACAAACAAAAATAGTTTAAATAACGGGATAATGAATATCTATAGCAGTTTAAAGCATAAATTTAATCGTTTAATATTTATTTGTTAAGGGGTTACGTACAGTTAGAATTTTCAAAAATTCTATTTTTTTAATTGCATTTTCTAAAAATATAATATTTCAAGAATATTCTCTGAAAATTTGAGACAAATCGGACTATTATTTGTGGAGATATAGAATTTTGAATGGAGCCGTCTCAGCCGTTACTGTGGCCAGGCGGCGGTACTCAAAACTTTGAACTCGTTTTTCTCAAAACCATGTTTTGGGAGACGGTGATCACTGTAACTTGAGAAAGAACTTACCGATCGGTTTGACATTTTTACCACCTATTTGTTATATAATTGGCCGGTACTTGGACAAAGGATTTTTACATTCTCGTCACATGGGAAGGTAATAGTTTTGGTCGAATTTTGACTTTGGATTTCTTTTTTTGCCACTGAGAAAAATGGATATTAAAACTCTTAATATATTAGATATTAAAAATGAGATACTTAAATATATTATCTAGATTTTAACGCTTAGTATATCAGATGTTTAGATTTAATATGTAGTGTATTGCAGAATATAACGTTTAGATATTGACAATCTAATATATTCAAATATAATATCTGGGCGTTTGCGCGTCTAAGGCGCCTACAGCAGCCACAGCACTTCATGGTCACAGCCTACAATAAAGAAAAAGTGAGGTTATATTATCACCCTGTTTTGATGTGCGACATGCGCGGGCATCAAAATGGAAAAACTTACGTCGTAACTGCAAGCGAAAATTAATACTTTTTAAGTTCATTAACAAAATGAAGCAAAAAATTAAACAAAATTACAATAATTTGGCAAGGAAATTATTTTATTACAGTTTTAAAGTGGAGTAATTTGAGTTTCATTAGTTCACCGCGGCCACCAGAATTGGCGCCACCTCCTGGACCACTGACACATAGACCCAACTTGTATGTGGTTTTTCCCACATGCCCATAATAAATCTAAAAAACATGTTATAATATTCTTTAGTAGTAATGTCGCGAGGATATAATTCAAATTTATATATGACATACGAATTAATAAATATTGACTACAATTTCATGTGTTTTTTTAAAATTTTTCTTGCAATGACTGGGAAAAATAATAATTTTTCCCGCAGTCTCATCAAGAAAAATAACCGGAAAAAGATCAGGATTTTTGTTTTAAATTAGGACCCTGATTATTTATAAAAATTAAAAAATTGCTATAATTCTATTATTATTATTATCATTTATAAATATTAATTAACCAATTATGTATTATATTATAGAATAAATTAATAATTATTAATGCACTAATAATGTAATTATTTGGTAATAATGAATAGTAAATTATATGCGCTGTTTGTCGAATTTTGAAATATTTTAGGAATTTGATTATATGTTTAAGAATTTCTGTCAAGTTTTGAGCTCTACTTCGTGGTTTTCAGAAACCAAATGTTGTTATTTTACTGCAAGATTTAAAAATAAGGTACATTTAACCTATAATTTGAAATGACGTTTGCGTATATCTTAGATAGTAAAATTAAATATCCAAGATACTTGTCTCACAGTTCACTTTCATAGATATTGAATTTTAACATCCTGGATATTATAGGTTAATATATTCTGTCCAATATATTTAGATAGTGAAATTAAATATCCAAGATACTTGTCTTATAGTTCACTTTCATAGATATTGAATGGTAATATCTAGATAGTAAGCCTTAATATCCATTTTTCTCAGTGTGTATGTATAATATATAACTCTGATTTTAACTAAATTCAAATTAGTTTTATAACGTCTTAAAGTAAAGCTCTACAGGAGCTCAGGCAAACCTTTCTTTCTTTCTTTCACTCTCTTTTTAGTAGAGGTATGTACCTCAATTATTATTATATTTATATACTTAAATTATAATGTAAATTATTATGAATTAAACAACAAAAGCTAGGATATACTCAAAGGTAATCCTACAGAAAGATAATAACTATGCTAAGTAGGTGAAAGCTATTCGAGAAATAGTTTTCTTTTCATATTTATAATTGAATTAAAAATTTTGTTAAAATTTTTACTTAATCTTACTTCACCTTATTAGTACTCTGTCCCAATTCTAGTTTTCTATCGTAGCGTTGTTCTCCATAAATCCAGTCAAGAACCACAGTCTGTGTTTTCTCAGGATCTACTAATCTGAAGGCGGTAATGTTCGTTCCACCATGTTTGAATTCCTCTAAATCAACTGAATGGAGATCCTAAAAGTATATAAATAAATAAAACCAATGTATTAAATATATCATATATGGGGCAAAATTTAACAAATGTACCAATCTGAAATATGCAGGTTGCCGGAACAGCATATTTCTGATAGTACATCAATAAATATACGTTTACATAATATAGTTATTATTATGTAATATTATATATTATTATTATATTATATATTACATTAGTTTATATTATGATTTTATAAAAGGTAATTTAAAATTTGTTTACAGGTATCATAATAATTAAAAACGCGTGTAGCGTGTAGCTATTCACGCGTGATAACGTAATGCGACTGTAATGAATTGCGCTTAAGTCACCTTCACAAAACAATTTGATTAAGGGTGCAGTCCCATGCTGAGCAGAAAACAGAATGCAAAGCAGAATTTCGTGAGTGCAAGAGAGATAGTCAGATATCACTATCCTTTCCGCACTCTCACGAAATTCTGCTTTGCATTGTTTTCTGCTCAACATGGGACTGTACCCTAAGGCACGCCGGCAAAGCAAAGAATTGCGCGCGAGATCTAACCTCAACTTCGAGAGTAGTTCACTCTAGTACATAGCAGACATTTACGATGATCTAGTTTAATTTTTGCACTTATAATATTATAAAATTATCTTACCAAGGATGAAATAAGGTAGCTATGATAATCAGTCATCATCCCTATTTGTTGTGCTTGTTTTAGAACATCATATATTTTTTCTGTTGAACAATCCAAAACAATGTGCGATTCTGCAGAATTTTTTATTTGCTTTAGAAGTTCTCTGCAAATCAGAAGAAATAATAAATAATAAATAGAATTGTAAATATGATTTTCCTTTTAACATTAGCCAAGACGCTATTATGTATTAACCCTCTGCCTACTCATGTGACCGTTATCGTCTAAAATCGTCTATGTGGACGCCTGGTGGGGACTATGGGAATTACATTCAAAAGCGCTAGAGTGGGGATAAGTCAGCGTAGGCAGAGGGTTAAATGTTATAATTCAAGTTCTTTTTCTATACCTCAATAAAAGTATCGTAAAGTCTCAAAGTTTTATTATGATTCATGAAATAGTTTTCAAGAAAAAAATTCCCGCAAAAAACGTCGATTGTTTAATGCGCCTAGGTAGTACAACCCCTTAAACTTATTATAAATTTTAATTTCTCACGCAAGAATAATTATGATTTGATTTAGAAAAATCTAAGGTAACTCTCTTCTTTTTATTTACATGCGTTTTGAGAGGAGTTACATTAATACAATTTGGTTAGTCTTAGTAGGGTTGCTATCACCAGTCGAAGAGATATCATTATTCCTAGCAGGGCAAATACTATCTTGAGAAGGGATAACATAACGTTGTTAGGAGGAACATTAGTCGCAATAATATTTTCTAGATTATTTGATACTAGCAAATCGTAGCAAGTGAAATAAGCTGGCCTCAGGTTTTTTACTGAAACTTGCTTGCTCTCGCCATTTACTTCGGTTTCGAACACGCGATCAGACATCCTATTAAGGATCTTGTGAGAACCTGAATGAGGAGATGTCCTTATTCCGCACTCATCCAAGATTATGTGAGGTAGGTATAATAAAAAAAAGAATAGAAAATATAAAATAAAATGATAAATTTTATATTATTATGTTAATATTATTATTAATTATATAATATCCTTTAATTATATAAAAATGTATTAACAAAAAATGATTTTCTAAATAAATTTTAGTTTCGGATGAGGACGATTGTTATCGTCGAAACGTTAAAAAGAAGTTATTTCTCTTTTCATTTGACTCGGAAAGAATGATTTTTTTCACCTATATAAAATAATAAAATATAATGTTCTTTCTGCACAAAATACCCACTTTCAAGACCTCTTCTTTTACTGGAAAACAATTGTTTCGTTTCAAATGAAATCGTTTCCAATTACGTTTTTTATTTATAACTTCTGAATTTGTATTATAAATTTTAATAGAGACATTTTTCCACAAAGGAGCACTTACCTATAGTTCGGTCCTTCACCAAGCTGTCTAACCGTTATTGGGAATTCGCTAGGGCCATGGGCTTTTAAAAGTTCCTGCAGACGTACTAATCCTTCATTATTTTCATAAATAATAGTAAAGCTTTTCCATCCCCATGCTTTAACGAGGTCAACGTAGGCCTAAAAATTATCCAACATAAATAAAAAAAATGGTATGAAATATTTTTAGTGCAATAAAACACATAATATTGAGCTTAAATCTTGTGGTATTTGGTATGTTTTTGTATTCGTCACAAGTACACTGAAAGAATTTTAGGCAGGCTGCTGGCTTTTCATGTCCGAAATTGGTGCCCCTTGCGCAGGGCTCGCAGCTCACCTCAAAAAAGCGAGCATCTACTCCCGAAAGGTGAGCTGCTGCCCCTGAGGAGTTGCTGCTTACCTTTCGGGAGTAGATTCTCGCCTATTTAACATGCAATATCTAAATGTTTGATATACCTTTGATAAGGTTGTTGCATGAGGATAGAGATTAACTAAACAACTTTCTCTTCTGAGACGATAATCCCACCGAGTTTCCAAATGCGGAATTTCCATAGTATCACAAATACTTTGCACGTGACTAGCTGTATGAGAACTTTGGGGTCCAAAAATTGCAGCAACTCCATTTCTTAGCAAGTAACATACTAAAATCCAAAATAATAAAAATTGTAAAAACTAACAATTAATTTTTAGAACATTTTGCATTCTTTAAACATTATTACAGAACCACAAAACATCGATGAAAGGTTCCTATAACCAGAAGAAATGTATATGTCTGTGATTTTAGATTGAGTGCTTCTGCTTTGCCAATATGTTATTTGGATTTGTTTAACTATTTTGTCTATTTCTTGAGATTATTTCAAATCATGTTCAAGAAATAAAAAGAATTTTTGTAATAATTTGGCTGCATCAAGAGCTTGTTCTGTAGTAGGTTGTGTTGTTGCAACATCTTCTACTTGTTCCTCTGCATCTTCGTCCTTTTCGTCCTCCTCATTTTTTAAGTAAGTTTAAAATATCTTCATCCGAAAGTGTACTCGTTGTAACAAGGCTCTCGTCGATTCCTGCGTAGTTTTGGAAGTCTTCAGGAATAAATGTGTAGAAACACTCTTTCTTTTTTAACTCAAATAGAGACTAAATTAAGTTTTCACAGTTACAAATACATTCTTATCTATCTATCTACCATCAGAAACTATCTGACAGCAATAACAGCACACAGAAGTAAACAAATGAAATAAAGTTGGGGGAAAAATATTCTCATTCTCTTTCGTTATAGTGAGTGACTGCTTCGCTAGAGAGAGTGTATCTATATACAGATTTTAATACAAACCAACCAAACTGAACAGATATTTACGTTATGGGGAGTTTTATCTTATAAAGAGTTTCGTAATAGAGTTTCCACTGTAATATACACAAGTGATCTGTTAAAGAAAAATTTCTATCATTTCTGTTGTTGTCCTGTTTTATTTGACGATTTCGATATTCTATGTATCCATTCGACATGTAATTTTTCTTCAAACGTTTTAAGACGTACTTTCTCTTTTCCGTGTTCTTTATTTAAAATTGAATTAATATTTTTATATTCCGTTTAATTATTAGGGTTCCGTATCCGGTAGGAATCCTGTTAAAACGGTTACGAAAAATGATCGTGTACCCCTTCTCCCCTAACGCTCACAGTTTTTCACCCAGAGTGTTAAAATTTTGGAAATATATGTATTTTTAAGCAAAGATTTCAGCAAAAATATAGCAGACGTGATTAGAGTAGATCTTCATAGAGTTTTCCGAGAAAAACACAAAATTTTGATTACAATTGCGGTTCCGGTTAAGTTTCTATTCTGCGTTGGCCTTGACTAAGGTTCCACATGTAAACCACCAGTAGTTCGCGGAATGGGCAAAATATACCAAATTCATAGTAAAGTTGAAATATCGACTGCAAGAGGCGCTGATGTTCACATCACTACTGTAGATGCTAACGGTAGATTCTAAGTACATTCTGATGTTACTATGGGGTCAAAATAAGTGAATACAGCACCTTGAAAAATTTTGTCTCTGATTTTTAAGTTATATGTGGACGTCCACATGAAAAGGGCCCATTTTGGCACTATTGGACTTATCTACATGGGCAAATTCCTTGCAAAATTTTGAAAATTTTGAGTGGTCATAGAACTTTTTTGGTGAAAAATTCGATGAGTTACAGAATTTCAAAGTTTAGAACGCCAAAACCTCATTTCGAGAAAAACGGAATTAAAGATTATGATACCAATTGATGGTGATATCTCCGGTTTTTTTGGAAAGTTATTCAGATAAGAATTGTTTCCAGTCCAGGGCACCTTAAAGATGAAAAACCAATAGGTTTTAAATTTTTAAAACCAACCCCCTCCCCTCCATTTTGAAAAATACGAAAATTCGACAAAATGGGCCCTTCTCTAAAAAGGACGGTTTTTTTATTAATAAACCATTTTTTAAAAGGTTAATAATTGGGTTCAATTTTATTGTGTCATTTGAACATAAAGAATAGAAATTAAACTTATTTAGAACTTTTGAACAGTCTCTATTGCGAATAATTTGACGAAATATTGAAATTTTTACTTCTACGATTACAAAAACAAAGACTCTAACATCAATATCTCTGGTTCTTCTATGAAGTTATTCAGATAAGAATTGTTTACAGCCCAGGGCAACTTAAAGATGAAAAATCAAGAGGTTTTAAATTTTTCCACACGTCCATTTTTAAAATACGGATTACTTTTGCAAATGACCGACAAAATGGGCCCCTTTCTTTTTTCTAAAGAACCAATGAAATCAAACAGTTAAATCATCGATAAATTAATGAAAACCGCATGATTCGACTTGTCAAAACATGTAGATTGATAATAAAAAATAAAAAAAAAATTAAGATTTTGCTCAAAAATTACTAAATTGCGATTATCTCGAAAACTAGAACCGACAATATAGGACCTTTTCATGTGGACTGTATGTTTTTTATTAGATATATGAACATAGGTACTTTCACCCCCTAAAATATTGTTCAAAAATTTTTTATATTTTCGAAATATACTTTTGGGAAATGCAATTTTCTTTTAGTTGTTACTTTCACGGAGCCAGAAGAATGTGCATAACTTTATATATATTAGAGGTTACTCATTTTTTCTTTTTGCAATTTACTAGTTAGTTTTGTGCATCACAAGAGACTAGTTCGCTAGGGTGGTTGTCCTAATGAACGTCGATCCCAATCTGGTTACATTTTCATGCTTTAACACAGACCTGTATCGTGGGATTCCAAAAAGCAAAAACAATGGCCTTCTCAACAACAGAAGCAGAATACATGGCAATGGCTGAATGTGTAAAAGAAGCGCTCTATTTACAAAGGATCGTTAAAGAACTTAGATTCAATGATTTAGCTGAACTCACAGTCTGTTGTCTATCTCAGCAGGAAATCCAACTTTCTATGCAAGAACCAAATACATAGATATTCGTCACCATTTTATTAGAGATGTGTTAAGTAGAAAATTGTTCTCAGTCAGATATATTCCGAGTGAAAAACAAGTGGCGGATTTTCTTACAAAAGGACTATCACAAGCTAAGTTAGATTTTTGTAGAAAGTCAACCGGTATATGATAATTTATCAATAATGTAAGAATCGCGATATTTTTGAGAGGGTGGTATGGTCAATTTGTTACTGTAAAATTAGTAATGCTTTTTAAAAAAGAAAAAGCTCCCAGGGATGTTATCTTGGAATATTCCTTTGAGGCGGACATTTTAATATTACTTAAAGAACCCTGGAACATTCCGAATATCTAATGTAATATTTCCTTTAATTTAAGGTTATATTACGTGCTGCTTGGGCATTAAAGTGCATACAGGAAAACTGTATACAAGCAAATTTATAATATAAAATCATTAAATTAAATTTCAAAATTGTACAAATTTAAACTGTATACCGGTAAATTGACCACGAGGAAACTGCACACTAATAAAAATTACATATTTAATAAAAACTGGAATTAATTTCAACAGTATATACGCAGTTAAACTGACCACTGGAAAAATGCACACAAGCTTATTTCAATTTTTATTAAAAATAAGCTGGTATATGCAGTATTCCAGTGGTCACTTTAACTGTATGCAGTTTAAATTAGTTTTATTTCTTTATTAAAATTTGTAATTTTAATAGTATTGTCAGATTTCAGAGGTTCAAAATGTCAGACAAAATAATTTGCAATTGTTTGTAAAACAATTAAAAACTTTCCGAGTAAGAAGTTTCTAAAAGTCCCCGAGTATCAAATTTGATCAACATCCCGAATAAAAATTAAGCTCCGATCTATGTAGCCTCTATGTCATCTGGCCTACTGTGCGACATAGGCCTGCGAGTTAAAACTAACATACAGTCTATGACGGAAATGTAACGCTCGGCTACATAGACTATACATGGGCTTAACAATGTAGGACCTACATAAAAGTTCTACATAGGCTCTATGTAGGTAAATATACATACGATCTACGTAGGATTAAAATGTAATATTTATATAGGCCAAATAATATAGAATCTACATAGAGTGTAAATGTCATCTCTACATATACAAACTGATGTCAAATCTATGTGTATGTAGTATCTATCTAGGCCAAATAATATACAGTCTATATAGAGTGTAATTTGTTCTCTACAAATATAAGGGATTTATATTTAGTTTAGTTTGGTGTTAAAATTAATTGTAAATATTTTATTATTCTAGTTCTAATAAACAAACAGAAATTACAATTAAATAAAAGAATAAAATTAAAACAATTTCATTATATTTATATACATTTATTCAGTTCCAGTTTTTCATAAGATAAAAAAAATTAAACTCGTATTTATGATACACAATTTATTTATAATTATTTTATATACATTTTTTTAAATTTATTGAATAAATCAATTTAATAATTTCTGTAAAATATAATTAAAATGTATCAGTCCTTTAAAATTCGATATCACACAATAACACTTAAACAATTCACTTTACAACAAATTGTTCACTTAAAAATATCCATTTTAATGCAACAATTCACAAAAAAACTCACTTCACAACAAAATATTAACTTCAAAATAATATTGTCACACACGGTTTTAGACTCTTTGTGACGAATGCTAAAGAGCAACTGACGCTCGAAAGACCTTCGGAAAAAGATTTTACAGAAAATATTTGAAGTCTTTTAACATTTGCTCTGTATATTTCAATCTGAAAAACTTCTAAGTTTTTGTCTAAGTAAATCTATAAGAAAAAAAGAGAACTGGAAAAGCTATAGAATAGTCCCCCTCTTACAATGAGGAACCCTTAAGATGGTCAACTACGACTAACCAGATGTGACAACTCTTGAAAACAAGAAAATTCTTTTAACATTTTATATTTTTACCTTCATATGAAAAATGTTTTACAGTTTTAATAATATTAATAAATTAAAAAGTTGCTTTTAATTGTTTGTAAAATAATTATATTTTTAAATATATTTTAAATACTTCTAAAAATATTTCTAACTCTTTGGCAGTCAACATTTTTTAATAAGATTTTGGATAAAAATGATTCTCTATTAACAAAAAAATAGCTTTTTTTATTTGATTTTTGATTGCTCATATGCAATCAGGGTTTTTTCTAAATTATATTAATGAATATCATATTGTGTTCGTATATCCTATACAGATATTACATCTCTAGGCCTATATAGTGAGACCTACTCATATCTTATCTCGATATTACGTTGGGTGGCCTGTGTCTTTTCTACATACGAATGTAGATGTAGATCCTACATAAATTTTACGAATTAAAGGCCTACATAGAAAAGCCTATACAAAACTTACCTCAACATTACGTAGGGTGGCCTATATGTTTCCTATGTACGAATACTAATGTAGATCCTAAATAAATTTAATATATATGGGCCTACATAGAAAGACCTACCCAAATATTACCTCAATACTATGTTGGACGACCTATATCTGTCAGACATAGGAATGTTGATGTAGATCCTACATAGATTCAGAAATTGCAGGCCTACATACATATGTCTACACAAAACCTATGTAGACACTACATTGTAAGGCCTACATCAATTGACTATAGAAAGGCCTACGTATATCCTACATAGATACTACATCTTATAGGCCTTCATAGGGAAATCTACGTACACTCTACATAGAATGTACATAACTTGGCCTACATAGAAGGCCGATTTTAAGGCTACATAAATCCTACGTAGTATTTACATAGTCCGTGTTAGATTTTTATTCGGGTATCTATTCAACATATGTTTGAAAAGAAATTTTTTCTAAAGATATTCCATGCCCATATTGGAAATTCTTTTAATAAATTCATAATTTATTATTTGCTATATATTTGTTATTTATTATACATACCGCGTTTGGAAGCGTGAAAACTATCTTGTGGAGATATTTGCTCTATTTGTGCACTTAGTCGCGACTTAGGTAAAATATCTCTATTTGCATTTATTTTTTCTACAGCATATCGAAAAGCTACTTCTTGTTTGTCATCTGTAGGGTGAAATAAACCACCTATAAAAAGAATACATTTTTTATTACGGTAATAATAATAATAATAACTACTATAATAAAAATTAAATATTATTGAATTTACAATTATTTTTAAAGTAAAAGTTACGACTTCATTAAAAAAACACTAACGGATGTCAAGCGTCAGTTTTTCGATCCGCACTCTTAATTTTTCCCGGAAATTCCTATCAGGAACAATTCCTGGACTGTAAAAATTTTATACCCATGCGCGAATTGTCGGTCGGCCTAACTCTGGCAGTCGATGGTCACACCAACTAGTGAATTGATAACGCTGTACGACTACGACCAGTCCCAGATAACAATTGTGTCTGGCACGCCCGGCACGTAGCGGGCGCCGGACCGTGTGCCTGCTATAACGCAGCACTTTTGCCAGCCGAATGTTAGAGGACCAAGCAGGCTTACAATCTGCTGGAATATACGTTTCTTCATTATACAGATCGTGTGCCCGATCTAGTCGGGCAATTTGATAGAATTCATTGCTTCCAACTTTTTAATAAATAAACAATATCTTTTTAATTATAAATAAATACATTATTAGCTATATGTAAGTATATTATATACAATAAATACCGTAATTATATTATTAAAAATAATGTAATTTTTATATTTATAATTAAATAAAAATAATAATATTTTATAATTAAATAAGCAGTATATATTATTTTTATTATAAATTATTAGTTAACTAATTTTTACAAACTTTTAAATTTATGCTAAATATTTTATACACTAGTTTTTATTATTAATATAATTTAATTAAAATATAAAAATTAAATTAGGAATTATTTTTAATGAAAGCTGAATTATTTATTGTATCTTATATTATTTACATATACCCATAATAATGTGTATTACTTATTGTATCTTATATTATTTACATATACACATAATTATGTGTATATGTAAATAATATAAGATACAATAAATAATTCAGCTTTTATTAAAAATAATTCCTAATTTAATTTTTATATTTTAATTAAATTATATTAATAATAAAAACTAGTGTATAAAATATTTAGCATAAATGTATATAGTTACATAGTTACATAGTTACATAGTTACATGTGTTTTAATCTTTTGCATCGTTTGCATCAGAAGTTTTATTCTTGGTTATATCCACAATTATTTTTACAAGATTTGTGGAAAAACAGATAAGAATTTTTTAAAACTTCGGTAAGTACATTTGATACTGATTTATGATTTTACTGTTTAATATTTTTAATTACTTTCTTTGCGCATTGACACTTAACCTATTTTGATAATTTGTAACATTTTTGTTGTTGACACTTTCCCTTTGGAAATTTTATAATATTAACAATTTTTAAATTAATAGGGTGACCAGACGTCCTGCTTTGGAAGGACATGTCCTTATTTTTTAACGTCTGTCCTGCTGTCCTGCCTCTTTTACTAATGTCCTGCTTTTTCAAAAATTTTAATATTTGCACTAGATAATATTCGAATAGCAACACAGCTTTTATGGCTAATATACAATAAGTATAACAATGACTTACTAAAAAAATTTGAAGTTAAAAAAGTATTTAAAAACCTAAAAGACTTCTGTGGTACTTTTTGATATTTAGTTAAATTTTTTTGTATTTACAATTTTAAGTACCTATTATGGCAAATTATTTTTAAGAATATATCAAGCATATTCAGGAATATAATATTTGAAACTAATTAAAATTTGTCATTAATTAATAACTGTTTTTATTACAGGAATAATATTTATTTTATTTATACAGCGTGCAACAATTATAATTTTTATTAACGACGAGAAGAAGAGGGGGAAAAAGTGGGGGTAATGTCCTGCTTTGTCAACTAAGACATATGGTCACCCTATTTTTAAATGTTTTTAATATCGCTCTGTTTATAAAATATTTTTTAAGTAAAATTGGTATTTAAAAAAGCTATTGTTTTGGTATTTATGTGTTTATTTTTCCATCTATCAATCTAAGAATAAATTACATACTAGGCAATTAATTTTAATTGAAAACAACACTCCTCATCAACAATTGTTACTGTGAGGTTGTTTTTAAATAATTTTTTATCTTATTTATAATAAAACTACCGTTTTTTATACTTCTTTTTAAAATAAAAGCTTAAATATTCCATTTGTATTTAGTGTAAATATTATTAATTATAATGGACAATTTAGGGGATTTTAAGAAATTAATTAATTTCACAGGCATGTCAGAGGTTTAAGTGCGTAAAACTTGTAAATTTTATGATTATGAAATTTAAAAATTAAAATTTTTTTAAATGTCTCTTCAAGGTTTTAAATATTTATGTTTTCGTATAAAAAACAATTTTTTATATTTTGGTTAATAAATTTATACAAACATCATACTTAAAAAAACATATTTTTTTGATTCAAAATAATTTTATACTTAATTTTTACATGATTTTTGTTAGTTCTTAAAAATTCATGTTGATTTTGTAAAGTTCAGAAATTTTTTTATCAAAATAAGTCCCTGAAGTTGCTCAGCATCGAAAATAATATTTGATCAAATATATTGCGTTATACCCTAATAACAAAAAGTTCAAAAAAGAAGTTTTAGTTTACTAAATAAAATCTCTGCATGTTATTACATATATATATCCTAACAATATTGAAAGTTTAAAAATTTAGTCAACAGCCAAAATTTTCAATTACTCTTGTTTCCATGGATCCACCTATTAATATAACCTTAATCCATTATTGTTTCTAACAACAAATTTATAAAACTTTATTTGAAAATTGTTTTATCAAAGTTTGAAAAGTATAATACTTGTAAAATTTTCTGAAAAAATTATTTTGAGTCTAGTTGTTTTTCATGAGAAATAGGTATTATTTTACATAAGAAAACGTTTAAATATTTGTGCTTTAGAAATTTGATATATGGGGCAAAATTTCTCAACTGCACAGGTCAAAAAATGAATTTTTTTGAAACTTTGCTAAAATGTTACTATTATTAGTAGAAGTGTAGATATAAAAAATTATTGAATTTAATAAAATATTTTTTGAGTTACAGAGTTTCAAAATTTTGACTTTTTTGAAAATATATTTTTTTTGATTTATTAAATTGATAAGTAAAATTAATCAAATTACAAGTGTGAATAGTGATTTTGAAAGGTTTTTTCACGAGCTCAAAATATATTTTTAAAATTTTTTTCTAACCTATCCCAATCGAAAGCTTACCTTTTTTCGTATGCACCATGTAAAAACCAGAGTGGGACCTTGGAAATTTTTCAAGAATATAACAATTTATCATCATTTTCCTTATAAAATAGTGCTAAATTATTATTTTCTTGACAAATTTCCAAGGTCCCACTCTGGTTTTTACATGCTGCATACACTGAAAGAAATTATTCTTGATTACTGTGTGAGTTCTGGCTAAAACAGCCATATTGTATTGTTGGATTTGTTACTGATTGTTACTGGGAACGTAGAAACACCCTAAATCGAAATATTTTTACAAAGTTAAGCCCTTTTTAAAATTCATTTAAAATCGACATAATTATCTTTTTTCTGCTAAAAATCGCTGAAAATACTGCACATTAAGTTTTCCTAATGAGAAAACGTCAATGAATATGTAAAAATGCAAAAAAATGTGTATGTATATACAATAAAGTTTTAAGAATATTTTTGAGTTTTTTCAGTGCTTTAGGGTTGAGTTTTATTTAAAATCGTAGATCTCATCTGGAAGACTTTTGAATTTAATTCAGAAAGTTTAACGTTTTTTTTGTTTTTTCATATTCTTTGAAAATGTTTTTTCTCTTACTATCAAAAGGATGTTATGAGGCTTCTATTTATCTTTCTCTTTTTTGACGAAGTTTAGTCTTGTGGAAAAAATTGTGCGTGTCAAGTTCGATTGTGTTTAACTACCACCTAAATTTTATTTTATACTTTCCTTAGTGATTTTTCGTTTATATCATTGTCTGAGTATTTAAAAATAGTTATTTATGATACAAGTGCGTAAAATCGTTGATTATATGAGTGTGACGTTTGCAGCTCGAGCCGAAGGCGAGTGCTGCAAGTCACACAAGTATAATCTGATTTACGCACGAGTGCCATACAAAATTTTTTGCAACACTAAAGCAACTATACTTGCGCAATATTGCTAATATTACTGTAACTTTAGGTGTAGTGGGGAACTGTTAAATGAAGTATTCTAGAAGCTAAAATAAAAAAATGTGATTGTAAATTGTTAATTAAAAGCATTATTTCATTGTTTCTCATCAAACAGTCACAAGAATGCGTAAAGTAACCTTTTTACGCACTGAAAATCACTTTACACACTGGAATTCACTTTACACACTGCTAGCGGTGTGTAAAGTAACACTTTACACACCGCTATAAAAAGAAGTACTTTACACACAGTTTTCTGTGTGTAAAATTCAATTTTACAGGTTAGTGTTGCAAAAAAAATTTTTTTGTCTTATTTTATTCACAAAAATAACTTTGTAATCATATAACTGCAGGATAATAGAGACCATGGACAAAGGGAAACACAAACTATTTGTGGCTCTAAGCCAGAGTCAAAAGAGAAGGCGTTTAAACATGGCTCGATCCTGTATAAATGATTTGGATTCTCAGCAGAATGCAGATCAATCTAATTCGTCTTCAGAAAACGAAGCATTTCATGACCAAGCGAATATTCCACACGAAGACATCGAAACTCATTATACTGATTCTGATGACATAGAAGTGTCCGATGTAGAGATGATTTCATCTAGCGAAGGAAGTAGTGCTGCTGAAGGAGAAGAAGAAGAAGAGGCATTTTTGCTGGAACCTGCAGAACAAATGGAAGAAAATTTGGACTTCGAAACAAATTCCGAAGATAACGATGACGCAGATCAACCACCTCTTCCTCCCCCTATTCATATAGATGAGATTAAAAAAAGGCTCTTAAGAATGCTTTTTTAGTTACTAATTTGAAACATACTCAAATTAAAACAATTCTAAGAACTTTAAGAGAATTCCCTTTTCATTTAAATTGTCT